GAGAAGAGCAAGAAGAGGACTATATAGAACTTATATTTATGATTCCTCTAAACCAATACCTAGAACTACTAGATGGAGAAACCAAAAAAAAACGTAAGACATTTTATTTGAATCCTGCATGCATTCATGTTTTGTCATCTATATAAAGGGAACACTGCAGCAATAATGAAGGAATTCCGTTTCACCAGAATACAGAGCATAGCGAGGAAGATAGCAATGGGGAATTTTACGAATATACGGAATATTTGGACAGTAACAGTCACGGTGATGATGCTGCTGCTGCTCCAGCAGTATGTCTATCTCAGCACTATGATGTAAACTCAGATGACAGTGAAAACAGTGTTGCTAGTGATTCAGAAGATGAATACTCAGAAACCTTATTTGCTGACTGTGACATTCCCGCTGATAATGCAGATCAACATCAAGAAATAAGTGATGACATGTTTCTGCCACAGTATTCTGGTGCTGATGTAACAGTTTGTGGAGCTTATTTTGCCATTTTGCAGCTTAAAAAAGTATGCCGTTTACCTTTCAGCACAATAAAGGAAGTCCTGAGGTTGCTGCAGTTGCTCTGCCCAAAAAACAATAAACTCCCATCTACTGTCTATCAGCTTCGTAATTTTTTTCAAAATTTTCAATCACACAAGCACAAAACACTGTTTTGTCCTAATTGTGGCAATCAAATTCTTGACAAGTGCCAAAAACTGGACTGCTTAAGCAAATGCTCTAATAGTAGTGATCCAGACGTTTAAATTCAACTTGATATACCTTTGCAGCTCAAGACAATACTCTCACGTATGCATAATATTATATAGCTATACTATTCATTTATATACTTCATTTATAAACAGGAAATTGGAATAACATCAGTTGTTCAAGTGAATCTTCCAATTTTACGAAAGCAACTATGCTGAGTCACGACCACGATTTTTTTTCTAGTAAGGAACATATAGGACTCATAATGAATACTGATGGTGTGAGTCTTTACAAGTCATCTAAAGTTAGTTTGTGGCCAGTCTATCTAGAAATAGCTAATCTTTGTCCTAAAATACGGTTTCGTCATGATAATGTTGTAATTTGTGCACTCTGGGTTGGTAGATGTCGTCCTGATATGCAAATATTACTGGCTTCTATTTTTGATAAATTGAAGCATCTAAACATCATTGGCTTTCGACTAAATACAGGGCCAGATGGCATGAAAACTGTAAGAGTAAAGCTTTCTTTTTGTGTTGCTAACCTTGTAGCTAAAGCCAAAACTTTGAATATGAAACAGTTTAATGGTCATTGTGGGTGCCCAACTTGTATCCATCCTTGTGAGCATGTTCGGAGCCATATATATTTACCTGATGATTCTTATTTGCTACGCACATCTGATAGAATTGAGAGAGCAATCAGAAAAGGAAACAAATATGGCATTGTTGTTGAAGGCATAAAAGGAGTTTCATCGTTGCATGGTAATTTAGATTTTTTGTCTGGTATGCCAAATGACTATATGCATTGCGTTCTCGAAGGAGTTGTTAAATATCTTTTAAAGGTGTGGACAGATTCAAAATATTTTGCGAGGCATTTTCCATCAGGCAACATATATCTAAAATTGACAGTGATTTATTAAGGCAGACACCACCGCATGAATTTGTACGTTCTCCAAAAACAATCAGTGCCGATTTGTCTTACTGGAAAGCTAATGAATTTAGAGTTTGGCTTTTGTTCTACTCAGCCCCCATTTTAGTTAATATAAACAATAAATGCTCATTTATTAAGTCATATTGCTTACTTTGTACGAGCCCTTGCTGGACGCATTCTACTTTTTCGTTTGAGAGCCACAATGGTGCTTTAAAAAGAATGGTTCATTCCACTAGAAGAGTTGCTGAACAGCTTTCATTTTCGTTAGATGTTGCCATCACTTTACAAAATTTATATTTTGAAATTTGAAAATAGGGTAAGTGAATCATTAATAAGCTACCTTCAGACATCAAGGCATACTTTGTATTCAATGAAGAAGATTTCGCATGGGTATTCTATTGGTAATGTAAAATCAGACCATTTAGATGTTTTTGAACTACAAGAAGCTAGGAAGCTGTCTACAACAATAACTGGATCAGTGAATACATTTGAACGCCTTTATATACACGAAAAGCTATTTCATACAAATTCCTATAGATGTGGTGAAGGCAAGCGTAAAAGTTGCTATTGTTCGTATATCAACAACAATGGTGTAGAAGCATATGGAGAGATTCAAAAATTTGCTGAATGTTCATCCTTTGGGACAATAGTATTTGTACGGCCATTTCATAGAACAGATTCTACCATTTTAAAAACGTCAGGTAGTCCTTGTAGACCAGTTCTTCATCATTATTCTGAATCATCTGTCATCTCACGTTTTATTCTTGAAGTACACCCGCTAGACGCTATTGATACTGTTACAGCCATTCCTGCACAAAAATTAGTTTCTAATTGTTGTTTAGTTCAGCCTTCATCTGTTCCACTTTTATATGTCATTAAATCCCCTAATAATATTGAACATCATTAACAATCTTTAAAGTATTAAATAAAATAAAGTGGCTAAAATTACATAGATAATGAGTTATTGCCATTTCTTTCCTGAAATTTTATTTTATTACTGTGTCAATGTCATTTCTTTCTTTATTGCCATTTCTTTCTTACAATGTCACAGTGTTATTTTCATTAATTTTCTGTCTATCTTTTCCTTAATAAAAGGAAACAATAATAACAATAATTAAATTATGTCACATATAGTAATATCAAGTGTTATCTTACATGATCTGGTTCAAAAAAACAAATGCACACATTGTAAGAATGAGTGATCTGCTAACAAGTGCTGTCTTATGTGATCTTGTATAGCTAAGATTAAATGGGATTTCATAAGCTATTTGATCTAGCAAAATCTTGTTGGAAGAAAGAAATGCACACATTGTAAGATTAGGCAAGAATGAGTAATCTGCTAACAAGTGCTATCTTATGTGATCTTGTATAGCTAAGATTAAATGGGATTTTATTAGTTATTTGATCTTGCAAGATCTTGTTGGAACAAAGAAATGCCACACATTGTAAGATTAGGCAAGAATGAGTAATCTGCTACCAAGTGCTATCTTATGTGATCTTGTATAGCTAACATTAAATGGGATTTTATAAGTTATTTGATCTAGCAAGATCTTGTTGGATCAAGATTGACTGAACATAAAGCAAGATTATGCTAGGCATGAATCTCACCAATTCTTGTGCTT